ACCATGGAAAAAGACACTGTGATAGTAAAAACTCATTAACTGTCAGTCATTTGTTCTTTTGTTACTGCAAAATATACCAAGACAGTAGTATATACTATTCCAGCAAGACACCTAATTATGTATTTAAACATGTCGGATGGTAGCTACACTAATAATGCATTTATTCTAAGTATATGATGTTGTGCCCACCTTAACATGGGCTCACCAAGACTAGGTGTGTGACAGTACTGTTTTGGCAAAATACAACAGATGAAGACAGCATGTAGTGCAGAACAGACTCTAACACATAAATATCCCTAGGGTTTTACACAAATCAAATTTGCAAATTTCTGTAACCACAAAACCACAGCCCTAGTGCACACAGGCATCCTGGTCCAAATGAGTTGAACCAGGTGTGCATACAAACAAATGCTTCTCTGAGGCAAAGTTCCTTTCCATCCAGAAGCACAGCAGACGTGATATTTACTGCACATCAACTCCAGGAAAAATGTCAGGTGAGAAAACAACCAGGGTACACAACATTTGTAGTCCTATCAAAAGCCCCCTGGCCTGGAGCAGATGCTGTTGCAAATGGGCCCCCAACAAATTCCCCTGGATAATGAGGCTTACAGACGTCAAACATGTCAACAACACTGCCTCATACGCTTCACAAAAAGCCTCTGCCCTCCAGGACCAGTGCTGCTGTCGTCTGACAGGAGAGAGTGGTGCTACACTGTTAAAAGGCTACCAGTAAGGTGAAAGGGGAAAAAAAAGGTGTCAGCAACAGAGGTGTACACTTGAAAACGTCCACTATGGAAGCAACCATCCCATTAGGTTCACATCATTGCATCCGCTCAGTTTGCCACATTCGTGGCCTCACTGGCTAAAATCAACCACAGGGTATCCTACTGCTCTGTGCAGAACAGATGGCAGTTTGTTCAATCTCAACAGGCACCAAGAGAAACTGTCTGAAGATCATGACTAGGACTATACATATATATATTATCCTAGTAATCCCAAAGTCATTCTGGGCTCTCCAGTCTATTGAACAACAGCAGCTTCTCTGCTTGATTTGCAAATTTTCTTCTTTTTTGTCCATTTCCTTTTCTCAGTAATGGAAGGACGGACAGAAATGTGTACATTTCATTAAAACTGAAGCAAGAGAGGAGCTTGATTTTTTCCTTCATTTCAAAAATAAAAGCTTCAGTGATGGTGGTCTACTACGTTGTGTGTGGTTGTTAGGAGTCCCATTTCTCTATGTCTCTATATAAATTTTTTTAACTCCAGTTTTAGAAATTCCTTTTACTTCTACTAATTTTTTTTTTTAATGAAAATGGCTTATATTCTTATATCCTCAGAAATATCTCCTGAAAATGGAATAACTTTTTATTTAATTTCCAGTCAAAACAGACATTAAATATATGGATAGTGGTCTCTGACTTCTTCCGCAGCATTGTAAGTGTACCACCGACTAAATATGTTTGACCCCTAAATATGTTTTTTTGTAGCAAGTGTTGCAAGGCTCATGAATGCTTTAAAGAACATTGGCAAAAACCTTACTCAATTTAACTGTGAACAAATTTAAAGCGCACTATTCACTTAAAAAAGCATTCATTTTGCATGTACGATGAAAGGTATTCATAGATCTGCGGCACAAACCGTAAGATAAAATGACTGCACATATGCCTCATTGATAATCGCTCCACTGCATTCTATTGCTAAACACACACATGACACACAAACATACAGTTATACCCAATTCATTTCGTTTCAGACAGAGTTAAACTTACAAGGAGAGGACATCACGATAAAGTGCGTTTGCATTAGTGGATTATATAAGGACTCAGGCACTGTCTGTTATGATGGAGATTTGACTGGCAAAGGAATTGCTTTAGCTATCAGGCAGAAAAGGCTGTCCATCAGAGCCTTAGGAGGCAGACAAGGGCGAGAGAGGGGCAGACTTAACCTGAGTGACTGACACACACCGCCTGGCAAGTACGTGAATGTAATGCACAAAAAATGGCATTACAGCGGGAAATGTGCCATGCACAGCCTTACATCTGATGGTTATATTTGCCATGTTTGAAAAGCACGTCATCCACACTGATAACAAACAAAGCATGCTCTGGAATGGTGGTGTGAAGGTGTCATGAAACCAGAGAAAGAGAGGTTAGAGAAGAGAGAAATGGCAGATGAGATCAAGGGAGATGTTCATAGCCTTCTGAAATCAAAAGAAAAATACCAAACAAGATAAATGTAATGAAAATAAATTCCAGTTTTTGAGTTTACAAAATCCCGAGGGGAAGGACAAATCAAACAAGAAAAACATATTAGGAGAGTGACAGTTCACTGCTTTGGCATTTAGATATGTATCAGCAATGCCATAGCCTGAGGGACAGCAAATGACACACCAACACTGAATGCAAAATTTGACAGCATACTGTCAATTTGTTACAAGCAGGGATGCACTGATACCATTTTTTCCCACAGTTGATCTGCTGAATACTGAACCTCAGGGAGCTGCGGATATCAAGTGCCTGTATCGATACTTTTAACTTTCCTGTTTTGATCACTGGACAGTTGCACTGAAGCAGATATGGTTGTGAATACCTAGTTCTTGTCAGTCTAAAGTTGCTGGACGCTACTGCATATTGATGAAATAATGATTACATACTAATAAAGTATTCCACTTCGAGTAGCCTATGACTTAAAAAAAGAATATCATGGTATCAGTACTACATATACCCATATTAACACTGCAGACTATGCAAGTAGATAAGACAACATAATACTGGTGTACAATGTTGGAAATAGAGCTGGTTCAGACAGTACTGCTGTACTAACTTTGGTGTGGTCAGTGCTTCAGAATAGAGAAATGCATTGTTAGGATGAAATCCCGCTCACATCCGGACCCGTTGAAAATCTGCACTGTTTATCCTGCACTGTTTTCCTATCCATAACAGGTTTCCATCTGTGTTTGTCCCGATTGAAAATGCCACAGGTCTCACTTGCCTTTAGTTGGCTTTATTGTAACGTATCTTTTAAGAGCACTTTATACAGCTGTGGCCATCTGACTGTCTAAAGTCTCTGCCATTTCTGTAGCCTACAAGCAGTTCAAAAAATGTGATTATTCATGATTGGTTGTTTCTATTTAGAAGTAGTTTAGAACTTCTATTTAGAATGAGTCTGTTAATTTCTGAATGATTGTTATCATTTCATTTTGGCTATTGATTAATTTGTGGGACTTCTCTACACGTATTTGTTGTCCTGCTCCAACTTGCACTGTGCTGGAAAATTGTCCGCCCCCACTCATGATGCTGAAAATTAACCCAGGGTGGCAAGACATTGTGGTGTGATGCAGACCTCTACACCAGAAATTGCAACAAAGACTGGACTTCTGTAAGACATGCAGTCATACTCTGTTTTATCTGCACTAACACACCTACTTTAACCCTGGAAAGGCTTTAATTAGTTGGATCAGGTGTGCAGTAACACACCACAACATACCCTATTTGTTTTCGATGGGAAGTATGTGTTCCATCAAGTGGGCTGCGCATGCATGATGGATCTGGTGTGTCAGATTTGGAGAATGTGATTCATCAAAAAGGAGAAGAGCTGAACTTTATGCAAATTAATCTGGCCAACATTTAGCCAATCATGAGACAGGTGGTGTTTCATGATCTGTGTCTGTAGTCAATGTGTGAACTGCTGGAAGAACAGTGGTAAAAGCTCATCTATTTAAATATAACTGTTAACCTCCAAAATTCAAAGTCAAAGCATAAAACCGATTGGCTGAACGTTAATATACTTAAACGATGGATGCTGACTGCAAGCGATCAATGACCCCTGTTCCTCAAATCCGAATCTGTCCAACTTTAACCTAATCAACATTTTGAAAAAATTCCTTGCATGGTACAGTTTGACCTTGCACTTGTGGATGCAGCAATGAACTGTGTTCACACACAATGGTTTTTGGAATGGTTCCTGAGGCCATACAGGAATTTCCACTGCAGAATCATGTCTGTTTTTAATGCAATGTTGCCTGAGGGCCTGAAGATCACGGCCAGCCAGTATTGGTCTTCGGCCTTGTCCCTTGCATACAGAGATTTCTCTGAATCTTTTAATGATATTATGTACCATAGATGAAACCCCCAAGTTCTTTGCTATTTTACATCAAAAAAGTTATTCTTAAACTGCTGCACAATTTGCTCGCACAAAGTAGTAACCCCTCATCATCTTTACTTCTGAAAGACTCAGCCTCTCTGGGATGCTCTATTTATGCTCAATCATGTTACTTACCTGTTGGTAATTAACCACCAGGTGCTTTTTTTTTTTAGCATTACACAACTTTGGCAGTCTTTTGTTGCCCCGTCCCAACTTTTTTGGAACGTGTTGCTGGCGTAAATAGGCATACATTTTTCAACAATGAAATTTCTCAGTTACAACATTTGTTATGTTGTCTTTGTACTATTTTCACTTGAATATATGGTTTACATGGTTTGCATATTATGATGTTCTATTTTTTTTAAATTTTACACAGCGTCCCATCTTTTGAGGAACAGGGCTGTATGTAAAGCACATAATTTAGCAAAAATAAAATTGTGTTTGCCTTTATGTCATTAACTACCATATAAAGCTACAAACCTATGCGTAGGAATAGAATATGCACACGTTAGTCATCTTTTATCATCATTCCAAGTATACACGTTTATAATGAGCCCTTAGCAATGTGAATTCTCTCAGAAACTATTGCAGGACCTCCAACAATAAAGGTATTGTTGGATGTAATGTTGAACATGGACAAGCACCTAACTACTCTGAGGGTAGAGTAAAGGGGACAAAGCCAAAATCTCAATGTATCGCCACTGGTAAAGTCTGGTTTAGGTTCTGGTTAAAGTCATGAGAATACAGAAAATACAAAAAATATTGAGCACTGTGAAGCCAGTATCTTGAATCAAATCAAACTGTGAACTGAGTGTATTGTTACACCTCTAACACATAGTGAAAGAGAGAGTACTGACCTGAGTGTCTCAGCCATGCGCCTGAGGTCCTCGTTCTGCTGCTTGAGCCGCTCCAGCTTTGCCAGGATCTTGGAGAGCTCGCGGCTGGAGCGCTCCGGATGCTCGCTGTCGCGCACCAGGTGCCCACCGATGTAGAAGAGCAGGGTGCCCCATGCCAGCAGCACCAGCGTGATCCAGCGCCAGGAGCCCGTCCACGGCCGCATGTGGAGGAGGTGGGGCACTCACAGTCGGCTGGCAGTTACAGCATGTCAGCAGGCCGCCAGGGTGCCTGAGTAAAGGCTGGTGTTCTGGTGTTTCCCCCACCACTTAAGAAGCTAGCGGACTTCAGTGCAAGGGTTCTGCTACTGCCTCTTGAAGTTTCCACATACGTTTAACCTTCCTATTGCCTCCAAATCAGGAAGCACACATCCGAGCCTGTGCAAACAAAACAATGTGTGTTACTGCCGAGACATGCCACTGTGCACAGAGGTAGTTCTACAGAAATCACTGGGGAGGAACTGCATATCTTATCTCTCAGTTCCACCCTTTCCTCCTTACCAAGGGATGTGGAGAGCAGTTCTGCAAACAGCTAATAGCTAGGCTAACTGTCCTTCTGTGATTACAGAAGGCATGTGTGAGCTGTGAGGGCAAGTCCTAAGTCAAGTGGATGTCAGGCTTGTAAATGAGGCTTGGGAAAATTTAGTATAATTAGATTTTGAATGAGGCAATCAGAGATGGCAGGAGAGAGAGAGAGAGAGAGAGAGAGAGAGAGAGAGAGAGAGAGAGAGAGACAGACAGACAGAGAGAAAGAGAGAGAGAGAGAGAGAGAGAGAGAGAGAGACTGCTGATACTCTCCCTTGCTCCCTATGCATTCTTGCTCTGGTCTTTAGTCTTGTCACAATGACTCTCTGTAAAATGTGCTAACAAAGATGGCATACTGTTCTATTGATTGCACAGTCGGGCCAAACTTTGTCAACTCACCACTCAGAAAAGAGTGAGAGAATAGGCCTACTAATTCTTCATTAGGTTAGGGCTGTATGAAGAGACTGAAGCCTCTATGGATTTTTGCATGGAACTACACAATGTATTATAGATTGCAGCTGAGAGTCTGGCCAGGCAATCAAATGATGCAATGTGTAAATTCATCAATATGGTGACCTTGTACTGGTGCTTGGCTACAGCAGCTGACTTTAACCAGAAAGCTACTGTAGCACCACACACATATTTATATCTCCAAAATGGTACATTTATAAGAGAAGAAAAAAAAAATGATGTACATTTTGAAGGCATTTTGAACCATTTCTATTGGATGGAATGTTCACACAATATTTAAAAGGTGTAAAAAAAATATGTGTAAAAAACTTTTTGCTGAGTACAAGTGTACACACACACACACACACACACACACACACACACACACACTTTCTGGCCACTTTTTTTTTATAGTGATGCTTTGAAGCGAAAATGTCTGACTAAAACAGAAACAAAACTTCAGGACACACTTTAAAGAAAACCAAAAACGTGCCAAAAACGTGTCCTCAACAAAAGAGAACAATTGTTCACTGAAGGCAAACAATTCCAAAATTATTAGGGTTCAAGTATGCAATGCGTAGAACCCTATTGTAATTGTCAAGATTTTTCTTCCTATTCTTTTTCTTCCCTGAAACGGAACGCACAGCCCAAACCGTAAGTCCTAGAGACTTGAAACTTGGTCAATAGGTAGTAGTCCCTCCCGTTACTCAGGCGCGAGGAATCAGCCCAGTCGGCCGCAAGGGGGCGCTATAGCGCAGGTCAACGCGTTTGGGTCTATAACTCCTAAACCAGATTTTTGCCAGACAAGACATATTTTTTTCCTAGTTCCTTGGGTCCAACCAAACAACTTTGCCATTTGGACCATTTAGCTCCGCCCACTTAGATTTTGAGCCAATTTGCATAATATACGAAACCTACTTTTGCGAACTAGTCCTACAATTTTCGCCCAATCCCCATGTAATTGGTGTCAAACAATTCGGAAGAGCCTGAAGGTCAATAATTATCAAAAACATTTTGACTTTTCTAAACAACATGGCTGTCATATGCAAATGAACCCTTCTGGATAAATTCAAAATAATTCAGAATTAATTTAAAATTCTGTAACTCGATAATCCTTCAGCCAAAAAATTTCAAACTTGACAGACACATTTGGGAGAAGATTCTGAGGTAGTCACTCGATTTTTGTGCGCATATGTCATTAGGGGGCAGAGTTAATGCTACATGGCTGTTTCTCATCATCCCTACATCCGATCAGGCTGAAACTTTGCAGATACCATCTGTTGGCCAGACTATAAGTGAATCCATAAGGACAATTTGATTCATTGAAGTATATGGTCGCCATCGGCCAATCAGCATTTAGCAGGCTTTTGACAGGCTTAACATTGACCAATCATCATGAAACTTGAATGATGTCTACATATAGCCACTTTCTAACAACCAATCAAGTTTGAAAAGATTTGACCACTGGGGGGCGCTATTCATAAAAATTAACATATTATTACATATTATTACTATTTTATTGCAACTTTGCTTGAAAATCCTTGTGTATCATATGTAGTACGTTATTCCAAACAATTTTGCACATGCATATTTATTACAAAACTGTATAGTCAGTTTTCGAACTAGTCCCTGGATTTTGATCCAATCTTTTCGAACTTGGTCTGGAAAAATTCTTTGGCATGTGTAGGTAAATAATTATTAAAAAGATGTTGACTTTTTTACTGAGTTTTCCGTGGAACAATCAATTCATTACTGTGGCCATGGCTTTGCTAACTTGATTTGCTATTACTCAACAGTCATTGGTCGGATCACGTCCAACCTTTAAGGATTTTGACATATTTAGATTTTAATGGTGCATGCCACTTTTGGTCCAGATTGGCCTTTAGGGGGCGCTTTAGCACTCAAAAACACTTAAAAATCAATTAAAATGTTATTACAATGTTATTACAAGGTCGACAGATAAACAAATGGTGCCATACAACTCAGGTCACTCACATGAACAACTTTGTAATTACATGTTATGTCACATTGTACGGTTTGTCTGGTATTTTGGCTTATTCATTCGAAGACTACATTATTCGAAGGCTTATTATACAAAGGTCAAAAGGTCAATCTGACCAAAACTTGGTAAACATCTTTGGATATGGTCCCTGATCAAGAATCACACCATATTGTGGCCTTTTCACTAATTCTGACCCACTTTCACTGAGCTCGTACTTTACTTTAGTCCTATGTTTCAACTTTTCATCTTTCTCAACTTTACTCATATTTTTGCCTGTAACTTTTGATCAGAGTGAGATAGAGACAAAATTCTTTTTTCTGCTGATTCCTTGGGACTTGCTGAACAAGTGCACCCCCCCCCCTCACTTTTAGCCCCACCTGCTTAGTTTTTGAGCTAATTTGCATAATGTGAAAAACCTATTCTTGCAAACTAGTCTCTGGATTTTTGGCCAATTATCATCAAATTAGTATCTTAACATTCAGAAGACACTGATCCTCAATAATTATCAAAAACATCTTGACTGTTCCACTGAGTGTATTGAGAATCAATCAATGAATTACTGCAACCATAGCATTGCTAGCTTGATTTGCTTTAACTCAACAGTCATTGGTCAGATCATCTCCAAACTTGAAATAATTTTACAAATTAGGACTCAAATGGTCTTGCCCAATTTTGGTCCAGACTGACCTTTAGGGGGCACTTCAGCACTCAAAAAAGCTATAACAATGTTATTACAAGGTCGACAGACAAACAAATGGAGCCATGTGACTTTCTAATTACATGTTATGTCAAAAATTGCAGTGCTTGTCTTTTATTTTGGCTTATTCATTCAAAGATTTCACTATACAAAGGCTTATTATACAAAGGTCAAAAGGTAATTCTGACCAAAACTTGGTGAACCTCTTTGGATATGGTCCCTGATCAAGAATGAAATCAATGGCTTAAATATAGAACCAATCCACTGTGCAAGTGCTACTATGTGAGAAATGCTGCCATTAGTCATGTAGTTTTGACATGTATGTTGACAACCTCTTGGATGTTCTACAAACCAGTGTAGATCAGTACATATTAATGTAAACCTATAATGTGTTTAAAGACCTCTGATCGTTGTGGCAACTGAAGGCCTTTTGATGAACTGACTTCCTTTCAGTTCTCTTCAGTTCAGAGAACAGAAAACTGTTGGGAAACGCTCTCCTATGTTCGCCAAATTTGAACGCACTGGTGGCCTCACTGTTAAGAAAGCGATTATTTAGTGTGCTAGTATGGGACGGGGCGTATCTTACCGAGCTGAATCGTCTTCATCCAGTGAGCCGACAAGTTTCCTCTTTAGATGCTCCATCATGGAGGATGTGCCCCATTGCCAGCTAAGGTCAGCTTTACAAATAGCACAACTGAATTTAGCTTCCCCACTTTTGAGGATTTTGTTCTTGAGGCAGCCATCGCGCTGCTGTTAACTCTCCAGTGAGCGGTAACGAAACGTTCCTAGTGAGCGCGAGAAATACGTGTAATGACGTCACCAACTAATCGACTAATCACGTCAAAACATCTGCACAAGCCCACGACTGCTCTCACATCGTAAAATGAATGTGTGCTACAAAATTTTTGCCAAATAAGTCCTTTAAAAAATTGTGACAAAAAAGTGACAAAATTGAGACAAAACACTGACAAAATTGAGACAAAAAAGGCAGATAATTTAATCCCCATCTTACAAAAGAGTTATATATGCTTATGTATCATCTCATGAATCCAAACAGCATGTTAAATGTTTCCAAAAAATAAAAACCTGTAGTGGTGAACAAGATCTGATTCCAGGGCCCTACAGTATGATTTGCCAAAAGAATGTCATACTTCCAGAAACAAGTCAAGGTAAGAACAAAGCCTTGGTCCATTAGACTCATTCATTTAAGTCTATTCTCAGTCTGTACAGCAACACTGTACTGTTCTCAATGGTAAACTCAGAAAAAACAGCAGAAACTAACAAAGTCTCAAATACTGTACATATTGTAGCATTGGAAGCAGTTTCCCAAAATTCACAGCAGTTTTGTTTTCTGTTTTTTTTGGAACTAGTTTGTCACTCACTCACTCAAGTTAAGCAGGCTGAAAATTCTCCACAAGAGGGCACTATTACCACATAGCTTTGTAATAGTGCACGCACCTGTTTTCTTATTTTCATGAGGTTTACATGCTCTTCTGAATGAATGGGCAAATATTTCCACACACACACACACACCAAAATCTTGTAAAAAGCTTTCCAGAGCTTGAATGGGATGTCATAAAAGCTCCTGCAGGTGTACTTTGTAGGTGTCCCAATAATATGTATATATGTATATATGTGTGGAATCTGTCCATGTAGTACATATATTTTTTCAGTAAATTTTTAATTAAACATTGACAGAACTGT